TGGTTTCAGCATGATGGTTTGGGGAGCTGTTTGGGTTGGGGGGAGATCGAGCTTAGTGTAGTGCGTTGGCAACATAAATTTTGTGAACTACGTCAAAATATTGGAGGAAGGGTTCAGGTTGAAAAATTAGTTGTTTTACAAAAAAGTAGGACAGAAAAACTACTATGTTTCTGGCCATTGAGCCTTCAAAAACCTATATTTTCATGTTACAGCATATTTCTGTTAAAAATGGACTTGGGGTCTGCAACAATCAACTAGTTCTCTGAATCTTGATGTTTAAATGAAAGGTACAACTTCCACTAGGTCTGATGTATGGGTCTCGATCCACTGTTTATGTTTTTTAGTGTCCACAAGAATGTGTAGAATGGTAACATTCTTCAATAGTTGACACATATGAAGTTACACATCAGTAAATGGATGAAATGGCTTGTGTCAACATAAATTTTACAAAAAAATAATAAATGAATGAAAGTTTGAGCCTAGTGACTAGAGCTGGGCTGTTAACACAGTTAATCAATATAACTAATTACCTATGGGCATTGATTGTTGCATCAGTTAGTGTCATGTAAAATAATTGATAATTGATTAATCAAAATTGATTAAATTGATTGATGTTACAAAAGTAATCAACTAATCATAATTAGTGTTTCTGATGCTTACTATTTTCAATTATTCCATATCTCCAACTAATTGAAATATTAGCTATTACTAATTCTGTTGGCATAACTAGCACTTGTGTTCTACTTTTACACAACTTACAAATGTTAGAGTATAGCTTAGTGGCTGTTGGCTGTATAACTAGCCACAATTTTACCTGTTGTTTGTGTTTACCTTGCGTATTTAAGTAATAGTGTAGCATTAGCTTATTGCTTTGCTTACATATTATAAGCTACAAAGGTAACTAATGTTACTTAATACAATAAAAGGTAAGGCAAGTTAACATTCCAGAGGTTATGCTAGCCTTTAAAAAATATTTTTTTAAACACATGCTTTTTAAAAATCTGCATTTTCAACTGTAACACCTATTTTTTTACATAATGTATCAAAGTAGTTAATTTTCTGATGCATTATTATTTCAGATTAACTCAGTTAACATGCAAATACTAATGCATAACCTACTGTATCTAATGCCCAACACCCAAACACCATGCAATGAACAGTGGTGTATGTGGTTCTACATATCTCAAACCTATACATTAAGCTCTTGCATTGTTTAACATTTAGAAACAATGAAAGATTTATTCACTAATCAGTCACCAGTTGCAACAGTACTGCGTACACTTCTCCAGACATGGTATTCCAGACAATTCAGTATTGTTTTATATGTTCATAAGTGTGTTTATGACTATGTTTGAGTGTTAAAGTATTGTATGTATAACTACACAGTTACTCAAACACTTAGCATCCAACCAAGGGAAACAAATAATCATAACTCCTCATTTTATTCATTCAGGAAATGCATACTTAGCCGGAGTAAAAACCTAGTATCTTGGATATTCTTAAATTAAACAGCCTAAATTTAAAGTCAAATAACATAAAAGCAAGAATAACAAATTTACTTTGTAAAATAAAACTTTTGATAATTATAACTTATCTTACAAAGCTTAAAAACTATTAGGGAGTGAATAAGAATAAAACCATGTATTTCAGATAATGTAGTATTATTGCATTATCAACACTGTTTAACCTCACACCGTCAGCCAATGTAAAGTTTTATTTTGTTGATGATTTATGTTACTTTTTAACATTTTAAAAGTTTAGTGTGTAACACTGTAACCAAATTTTCAGCAATTTTTACATGAAAGAAGAGAGACTTCCACTATAGTAATATAACATTGAGGATCACTCAGTGTTTCTCATATGGTCTTAAAGTAACCTAAATAGTATGACATTACCTTAAATTTTGAAATCCAATAACAAACAAGTAATAAGGAAACTGAGAGTCTAATCAGATAACATTAGTTATATTGTGCTGACAACACTGTTTAAATTATCTACTGGGGGGCATAGCTTAATGAAGACTAATTGACTTCTTGTTATGGAACTCGTATCTCGTATAGCTTTTAGATATATATGCATCACGGCCTTTTTCTTTCATTTTTGTTTTTTTAAGAGGATGCTTGGAACAGTGGAACACTTTTAACATTGCAGTACATCAGAAACACTTGGTAATTTGAATCAGTAGGTCTTTAAATATCTACATTTTAGAAATGTGCTGCTCTTATATTTTGTGTTTGATTAAAATTTCTTGCATGTATACAACAGAATTTTGTATAAGCACGGCATTTGATATTCATTGTTCTTTTTTCAATAAAAAACAAATGTTGACTGCTGAATAATTTGCTCATTTAACTGTGTTTGTGAGAAAGTACAAGTCATCAACTAATAACAGTCTAAGAATCTGTAACACAATTATGTCATTAACCTATTTACACAAACAAGACTCCTGTTTAATTAGGATTAGATGTAGCTTGATAGGAAACACTGAAAAGGGGAAAACAAAAGCCTGGCTGTCATCGTGTGCTACTTAAACAATGATATCTCATCATTCATGTTTATACAGTTTCTTCAAACATCTGCTAAAAGATATGAACATATTGTTTTATTCTGTTTTCTAAACTCCAGTGAGTATCAACAACATTTTGCTTAAATCTTATGATATTCTTATCCTTACAAAGTTAATTTTTGATGATGGAATTAGAAAAACATTCCAAACCTCTATACTTAATTTTTTCATGTTACCATGATTTTAATAGTTCTAATAATACTTCAGTATCCATCTTGTGAATCATTTTAATCTTTGCAAGGAGGTCATCTAGTATAATTGCAAGTTTTTTGCCAAATAGTAAATGTACAGTCTTTATTTTTCAAGGATCAGTAATAATTTGTTTTTACTAAATTATATATTATCTATCTGACACTGTGACAAGAATATTTACTAGTTTTTTCAAATGAATTCTAAGTACAGTTATTTTGAACAAAGAATTTGCTTACTTAGTTTTAGTAGAGTAGTATTGTGAAAATTTGTTGAAAAAAAAGCTATTTTTGGCTAGTTACCAGTTTTGTATTGTGTTGCATCTGTAATGCATTTTCACATACAACTGTTTATGATTAAAAAGGTAACTTAATCCTAAATGGTTGTACCTGAAGATGTCCATCAGAAATTGTGAATTACAAGTTAAAGCTGTCATGTAACATGTATATGTCTAACACATTGAGAAGCTTAAATTCTACATCACTAATGATCCTCTCAGAACTGATTACTCTAGGAATCAGAAGCAGATAAGTATATTAACAAAGTGAAAGCACTTAGTTATATAATCAGCTGATGAAGAGCAAGATATCTTGTTCATGAATAGTCAGGTGGAGAA